GTGAAGTGTAGTGTGCATGGGAGGCAGCTGATGTGTCCAGAGATGCTGGCTCCTGGCTATTACAGGGAGTCCAAAATCCTTGGTCCAAAAACCCTGCAAAGGGTCTTGCAGTAAGGGAGGAAGCTGCGCTTGCTCTGTAGGAGTACCATGGCTGTGGCACATTCTTTTGCCGTCTGGAGGCAGCTATTTGGGATGCTGAGCCCCTTGTCAGTCCCTACAGCTGCTGCCCCATCAGAGGCAGTATGAGAAACATCCACATTTGCCCTGATGAGGTGCTGAACCCGTGAGGCCTGTTGGGAAGCCCGTCAGAGCAGACAGCAGCATCTCCAGGGGTTTGGCTGCCAACTGGGGATGGCAGCTGCAGCACTGATGGCTGTGGTCTCCCGACTTGCAGTTCTTTGAAGGCAAGGAGCTGCGGCTGAAACAGGAGTACTTTGTGGTGGCTGCTACCCTCCAAGACATCATCCGGCGCTTTAAGTCCTCCAAATTTGGCTGTCGAGACCCTGTGAGAACATGCTTTGAAACCTTCCCAGACAAGGTGAGTTTGTGGGCAGAGAGGGTCCGGAGGCGTTTCAGCCAGACTTGCCTATCATGAGGGAGAGCAGGATGCTCAGTACCAAGTGGGGGCATATATACAAAGACCCTGGCAATTTGGGTTGGAAAATGTAATGTCCAGGCCTGTTTTCTCAGGGAGAAATTTGCAATTTGGAGCAAAACTTGCAAAGGTTGAATAGCTCTGTTCCTGGGAGCTCTGTTTCTGGGGTGTGTGCCAGGAAAAGAGGCTTAGGGCTGACCCTCACCCCAACCCCATGCATGCGGGACACTGTCACAGTCCTATCACTGCCAGACCTGAGCCCAGCAAGTCTGTCTTGCAGGTAGCTATTCAGCTAAATGACACCCACCCTGCCCTGTCCATCCCAGAGCTCATGCGGATCCTGGTGGATGTGGAGAAAGTGGATTGGGACAAGGTAAGTAGAGCTGGGAGGTCCATGCTAAACCTTGCAGGGGAAAGAGCTGCTGTCTTGTCCTCACACAGGGTTTCCTTTCCCCCCCCTGGCCTGGGCATGTGCGTGTTAACCTGCTGTCTGTAATGCAGGCCTGGGAGATCACAAAACGGACCTGTGCCTACACCAACCACACTGTGCTGCCTGAAGCCCTGGAGCGCTGGCCAGTCTCCATGTTTGAAAAGCTGCTGCCACGTCACCTAGAGATCATTTACGCCCTCAACCAAATGCATCTGGACGTAAGGGACTGGGCTGGTCACAGGCTGGGGGAGTTCTGGGGGTGTGGATCTGGCTGCCTTTAGGATGGGAATGTTCCTAGGTCCTCTGGCTGGGTCGCTAATGTCCCTCTTTCTGCCTGCCTGCCTGCAGCGGGTGGCAGCTCTCTACCCAGGGGACATTGACCGTCTCCGGAGGATGTCAGTGATCGAGGAAGGAGATTGCAAACGTATTAACATGGCACACCTCTGTGTGATTGGCTCCCATGCAGTGAACGGTGTGGCCCGCATCCACTCCGACATTGTGAAGAACTCAGTGTGAGTTGGGGGACACGCAAGGCACGCACCCTCTCCACTCACTGGGCTTTGCCTGCAAGCCTGGAGGGCTAGCTGGAGTGATCAGGTATCAAGGTCTGCTTTGGTTGCCCTGCTGGGCATGGCAGGCTGGGGACACTGTCTCGTTCGCATGCATGCAAGGTCTCACTCATCTCTCTTTGGAGCTGGTGAAACCCTTGGCATTATGGCTGAGGAAGGGGGTGAGAGGCAGCATAGAGAGTTCAGCCTTGTTACAGGGAGATCTGCAGAGACTACCCTGAGTCAGGAGCATATACAGTGGGGGCCCGGCTGAAGCTCTGGGTGGTGGTGTGGTTCAGAGCTCCCTGGTCTTACAGGTTCAAGGATTTCTATGAGCTGGAGCCAGAGAAGTTTCAGAACAAGACAAATGGGATCACACCGAGACGCTGGCTCCTGCTGTGCAACCCGGGACTGGCCGACGTTATTGCTGAGGTGAGGTGTCAGTATCTGAAGTAAAGGGCTGAGCGTGATCCGTTTGCTTCCAAGCACCTCTTTGTGTGGTCTGACCAGACCTGAGGCTAACGCCTGGAGGGTGTGAGTGAGGACAGCCTGGGAGGAGCACGCCTGTTGCACATATAGGTGTGAGATTGGTTGGGCTTTGAAGTTGGTTGTGAAGGGTTGGCCAAAAAAGTTGCAGAAATTTGGATCTGGGTCCCTGCCCTCACAGTGGCTACATCCAACCTGTCAGGCAGTACCATGGTGTGTGACCATGGTCACACAAGCACAAAGGAGCTCCCTTGGAGCTCCAGTTCCAGTTCTGTCTGCTTTGTTTACCAGGCCCTTTAGCACAGGTTTTTGCTTCACACTGCGACATGCCATAGCTGAATAACATCCTGCAATTAAATGAATCTTTATATCCCGCCCATCAGTTTCTCCAGCTGCCAGGAGGCCCTGGTACATGTGCACACATCCTCCCTCTAAAGCTCCTTGAGAAAGAGGGACTTGTTTGGGTTTTTGCAAGTGCCCTGTTTCCCCTGTACCTTTGGGCTCTCTGAAAACGTGGAGAAATAACCTTGCCATAAGAAACTGTGCCCCTTTTCCTGGCCAGAGTGCTTCTTCCAATTCCCAACAGAACTGTGGCATCTCTGTTGGGGAAGCACAGTTGTGGACCGGGTGAGGTGTCTCACGGGTGGGACATCCCTCTCTTTGTTTGTTCTTTTAGAAAATCGGGGAAGGCTTTATCACAGATCTGAGCCAGCTGAAGAAGCTATTGGATTTCATCGATAATGAGACTTTTATCAGGGATGTGGCAAAAGTCAAACAGGTAATGTGCACTGGAGGCGGGGTCGGGGGAAGAAGACTAAAGGCACCATGCTCCCAGGAACATCCGAGGAGCGAATGCTCACTTCTGATGCAAGGCGTGGGAACCCGTGCCTGTTCCTCATCAGATTTTCTCGCCAGGAGAACAAGCTGAAGTTTGCAGCCTACTTGGAGGAGCAGTACAAGGTCAAGATCAACCCTTCATCCATGTTCGATGTTCAGGTCAAGCGAATCCATGAGTACAAGCGGCAACTGCTGAACTGCCTGCATGCTATCACCCTCTACAACCGTAAGTCCTGCCTGGGCTGGTAGGCAAGGGGGTGTCCCCCAGCCTCTCACTGCCAGGGTTCCTGTTTAAAAGTATGCCAGCTGGTGGCCAAGGACTCCTGAGTCTAGCTCTGCCTTCCTGTCATGAAGGGCTCTCTCCGGGAGGGAAGAGAGAGTGTCTGAAGGGTTGTACAGAGCTCTGAGGAAAAGCTCACAGCCCATGTCTCCAGCCCAGCTGGGTCCCAGGGCCCAGGTAACCCCCACACCTGTACTGCAAGTGTTAGGACTGACCTGGTGCAAGTTAAAACCCCACTCCCCAGTGCATGCTTCTGGTCCCTGCCCATTCCCAAAGGGAGGCAAGTCATTGGAGCTCTGCATCATGCTGGCTTGAGTAGTTCTCCAAGGGCTTTGCAGCCCATTTTTGCCCAGCACAGCTCCAGCAAATGTCTAGTTGGGCTTCAGGGTCCTGCAAGTTTGCTGGGTCCATGTGATATGGGCTGGAATCCCAGCCCACCTCTGATGCACACAATAAACTCTGTCCAGTTTGTCGTCACTTCAGTTGTGTTATGCCCTGCTCTTTCAGGCATCAGAAGCAATCCATCCAACTCCTTTGTGTCCAGGACTATTATGATCGGAGGAAAGGTAACGTGTGTTCCAGACTCGGTGCATGCATGGCTCAGTGGGGATGTGGGGAAGGTGCTGTCCCCTTTCTGTAGCTTTGCCGGGCCTGCTGTAGGTTAGTCAGCATTTGCAGGCTCTTCAGGAAACACTTTCATGGATTTATCAGACTGAACAAGGCCCAAAAAAGGACTTCTCCTCCCAGTAGGGTGTTTTTGCTGATCCATATGAACAGCAGAGGTGAGGCCCAGATTCTCCCTGTGGTGAGGACCCACACTGGAACCTCTCATGCTCTTCCTTAAAATCTTTCACCATTTCTGGGCTGCTCTTCTTCAGGCGGCCCCTGGCTACCACATGGCCAAGATGATCATCAAACTCATCACGTCCATCGGTGAGGTCATCAACAACGATCCCTATGTGGGGGACAGGCTCAAGGTCATCTTCCTGGAGAACTATCGGGTATCCTTGGCTGAGAAGGGTATGTCTGGTCTTGTGTAAGCACATGTCAGGAGCTGGGCATGTCCCAGCTGAGCCCAGAAACTGGCTAGCCTGAGAGGCTGTCATGGCAGGGTCACCTGGCTCTCCCTTAGGAAGGGCCCGAGGGCTCCACACAGGGCAGGACCCAGCTTCATACAGGAGTGACAGCAGCTGCATGGGGTCATGGCAGCACTGAGCCTGGCTCTGGCCCCAGAGCCGTGCTGTTTGGGCTGAGGTTGAGGTCAGCAGGGCCACTAGCAGATGCCCAGGGTTGTTTTGCTGTCGTGGGCCCAGGTTGTGGGGACCTGTAGTGTGCCATGGATTAACTCCTACCTCTCTTGCACCCGGCAGTGATCCCGGCAGCGGATCTCTCCCAGCAGATCTCCACAGCCGGCACGGAGGCCTCGGGTACTGGCAACATGAAGTTCATGGTGAATGGGGCCCTCACCATTGGTACCATGGATGGGGCCAATGTGGAAATGGCTGAGGAGGCAGGCGAAGAAAACCTCTTCATCTTTGGCATGCGGGTGGAGGACGTGGAGGCCCTAGATCGCCAAGGGTTGGTTCTGGGGAGAGCCCATTGCATGCCAGGGCTTGTCAGATGGGGATACGGGTCCCAGCTCTGGCAGGGAGAGCCATGATCTCTGGGAGGGACACCCTTCTCCCTGGGCAGCTCTGGAGCAGGAAAAAGCTGGGGGGGCTGGAGGCAGCCTCCACCCTGGGCTAGTCAGTGGATGGTCCACCAAGGATGCAGCCCAAGCAGCTCGCCCAGAGCACAGTGGCTTGGGCAGAAAGTGTTTCAGGCACTGTGTCTGGTCTTAGAGGCACTAGCAGGGTGCTCTGATGGACACAGCCCCAGGAACAAGGCCCCTCACGCAGGAGCCATATGACATCCTTGCCTGCCCTCCCTGCCTCAGACATGTCAGGTCCTGCTCTCCAGGTGCTGGGGCCCAGGGGGGAGCATCGGGCCCTACAGTCTGTCTCTGCTGGGCGCAGGTATAACGCACGGGAGTACTACGAGCGCCTGCCAGAACTGCGACAGGCTATCGACCAGATCAGCAGTGGTTTTTTCTCCCCTCGAGACCCCGGTTGCTTCAGGGACGTTGTGAACATGCTCATGTACCATGACAGGTGAGTCCTGGCAAGCATCCCCTTTGGTGGGCTGCTCTGAGCCTGCCCAGGCCTTCTTCCCAGCTGGCCTGGGTCCTGCTGCGCAGGGGCTAAGCCCTGCCTGCCCCCAGGAATATGTCTGTGCTGCCCTGTCCTGCCATGCTGGGACCCTACAGCAGGCAAACCCTCGCCTTACTCTGCTTTGGGTTTCAGGTTTAAGGTGTTTGCCGACTATGAGGCCTACATTAAATGCCAAGGCCAAGTGGACCAGCTGTTCATGGTAAGAGCTGTCCACTACTGAGGGGGAGGGAGGGGGTTTTTGGCCATGGCAGTACAGCGGGGAGACTGGGGGGACCTGGGATGAGTGTGCTCCCGTGGAGCCCTTCTCACAGACACCACATGGTGTGGGCATGGAGCAGGGTGAGGCAGGTTTTGCTGCTTCGGCAGCCCCACACCACGGCATTTAAACCAGCCAAGCGTGCATAGCCCATGCCCTGCAAGGTTGCAAGCCAGGACAGAGCCGGGTGAGGAACTGACTGCTGACATTGCCTCTCCTCTTCCCAGGACCCCCGGGAGTGGACTAAGAAAGTCATCAGGAACATTGCATGCTCGGGCAAGTTCTCCAGTGACAGGACCATCATGGAGTACGCCTGGGAGATCTGGGGTGTGGAGCCATCTGCCACAAAAATGCCCCCACCCAACCTCCCCCGGGATTGATGCAAGCACAGAGGGAAGGAAGGAGGGATGGGTTCCCAGCCCAAGAGGCTTTACCTGCATTTCACCGCCAGTCATACGGGCTCGGCTCTGCAGAAACAAGGCCCTTCCCTCAGAGGAGTAGAAGGATGCTCTGAGGAGGACCCCTGACTGAGGAACAGGAGCTGGGGGAGAGGAAAAAGGACCCTGTGTTTGTACCCACATATCCAGCCTGCATGTGCTGCATAGTGCTTTTAGTGAGATGAACCACGGATAAGTCTTCCACAGCTGTGCTCCATGCTTAACAAGGGCTTTCCAACTAAATCCTCCCCTCTCCCCCTGCATGCAGCCTGGCCTGGCCTCCCTGACCCTGTCCCACAAGCAGGTTTAGCCAACACAGAGTGTGTCTTGCATCCTCCTCCAGTTGGGTCTGCCAGCTATAAGCTAGGGGAGGGAGAGGCCACTGTCTGCCCCTCCGGTCACCCCCTTCCCCAGTAACACCTAGAAAAGGTGAGGCTGGCTGTTAAAGCAGCTGGCCCAGTGCAAGTGCCAATGTCAAATGCTACGTGCAACAAGGAGAAGGCGAGAGGGCCTGGGATCAGTGACTTCCTTGCCACAGAGCTTGCCATAGCCTCCTCCCCCACCTTTTTGTTAACTGAAAGCCCAGTAACCAAGCCACTCCAGCAATTTTTATCCTCCATGTCTGCACAGAGAGGGTTGTACCTGCCACTGCCAGCTGTGTGGCTGACCCTAGTGGGCCTGTAGGCCCCAAGCAGGCTCTTGGCTCTCCAGGCACAGCTGTATGCTGGGTGCTATGCAGGGGATGAATGTGTATGACATCTCTTGCGTCCCTCCATAGCTGGGTCATGCTGCTCCATGTGTTCCTCCCAGTGCTGGGGTCAGAGTTTAACACCCATAGAGCTGTGTAGTGCACCTGTACTCCCCTGTGTGACACCAACTCATTAAAACAACCAGAACACCTGCTGGTTTGACTTCAGGCTGACTTGTGACTACTCCACATCTGTGGCTTCATATTGCAGCAAGTTCAGGCCATGACACCTGAAGCCATGCAGGCCTTCCCCAGCTGTGGCTTCATGGGATGCAGTCCCCTGCAGCTGGCATGGTGCTGGCACCATCATGGGAGCAACATGGCCATGGCAGAAAGGTCAGTCTTGCCAGTGCAGGATGGAGCTGGTACCAGAGGCTGCACTGGGCTAGCTAGGGCCAAAGCCATTTATCTCACCCCTAGTGTGTTGACTATATGCACTGGGGTGGGGGTTACAGTGTTGGGTTTGCCTTGCAAATGGCACACAGGACTCCTGTGCTAGAAGTCCCACCAGCAGCTCCCATTTCACCCATCCTCAGTGGGGAAGCAGAGCCTTGGCTGCAGCTGGACTACAGGCACACACCCACTGGGCTCCAGGAGAGCTGCTCACCCAGAGCTGGCAGCAGCCACAAAAACTTGCCCGGTCTCAGCTGCAAGCTCATCTCCCATGCACAACCCTACTGCAGCCCTGCACACCCAGCTGACCTGCCCAACTGGGGAAAAAGTCCCCAAAACCACCAGGTAAAATGGGTGAAGCTGAAGTGATCAGCAGTCAATGCCTTTATTAAAACTACACCACTTTTAGATAAACATTTCAGTTTAAATTTCCAAGCATATCACCAGCCTACTAATAGGAATGGCAGTGTTGGGATCACCAACACCAGCAGTTCACATGCTGGACCCTCAGCTCTGTCACACAGGAGGAAGGCAGCCAGCCAGCCTCTGGCTGCGCTTTGCCCCAAGCCAGCTGCTGGCAGCAGCATTAGCTGGAATGTGCACGTCACTCTCCAGAGCCAAGTAAGTGGTTCTCTTCTGTCAGTGCAATAAATACAAGTGCGTCAAACATAATTTAAGTGGCACAGTTAGCTTATGAGTATCATGGGTCAGAAACGTCAGGGAAAACCACACTATGGCAGAAGAATCTCAGTACAAGAACAAGCTACTGTCTGCTTTGTGACTAGTATGAGCCTGCAGATATAACTCGGATGCATGCTGAGCAGTTTATACTATGCTGTACACCCCTGAACAGACCCTTCAGGCAGCACAATTCACTCTGAGCACTAGTGACTAAACCTACAGCACCTGTTATTGTCTATATAGACTGACAGAGGGCAGGGCCAGGTCCCCAGCCAGACACCACAGAGTCAGCATATGACCCTCTCCCATCTCAGTGCAGAGCTCGTCAGTGGCATAAAACAGCCCCTGTTCTAGCCCCAAACAGGGCAAGGACATCCCCAGAACCTCTCCCATGGGAGAGGCTCATTTCCACTTCCGCCTTCTGGACAACCCCTCCGACCGTGTCTGTGAGATGGGCTGAGAAGTGCTGCTAGAAGTGCCTGGGATGCCCAGAGCACAGAAGGGAGGTGGAGGAAGAGATGGTGAGGGACACCCCAGGCTGTTATTTTTGCATGAAGAACAGAGGAACAGTGTAGCCACCAGGGACAGGAAAACCTGACCTAAGGAGTTAAAAGGTAGTTGAGGAAAAAAACCTACCCTTCCCACCCAAAGGAAGCACATGTCTGTCTGGGTATGTACAGGTAGAATGGAAGACATCCATTACCACATCCTGGACCCATGTTGTTCATGGAAGGGGGAGATCAAGCAAAAAAGTAATCTCACGCTTTCTGGCTTAAACTCCCAAATTTGCAATTCATCTACATAAGTCACTTCAGTCCTAATAAGTGCATGAGAAGAAGGGGAGGAGCTCCACAGAAGATAGGATGGATGGGAACAGAAATGATGTTCAGAAGGAAAAGGGTACAGAAAAGATAAAAGGACACTAACCTTTTCCATTAAATAGATGTTTGAAAAGGAAGAATAAAAAAAATCTTTCATTTTATTTCCAAATGTGTGCAATTAGCCCAACATTTGCAACACATTGTGACTGAAGAGCTAAATAAAAATATCTCTCACCACCTGGATCTTCTGTGTATTTGTAATTACAGCTACTTAGCAAAAAGGAAAGGCAAAACATTAATTTCCTAGAAAGAGAACACCTCAAACTCAAGCAAGACAACTGTGGTATGGAGACACGGCAGAAGCCATTCACCTACAAATAAGTTCTCTACATGATCCAAAAACAGCAGCAGTGTTTAAAAGTGAAAGAAACACCCTTGGTCATGACACAGGTGTCCTAGGAATGTCTGTCCTCAGCAGTACCACGCTGGATTGGCCAGGCTTTGTTGTGCTTACATTTTTCACGGTTTGGTACTGGCTCCTGGGCTGTTATCACTCCTCCATCCATGTCAAAAAAGAAGCCAACAGCTTCTTTCTTCTACCATCACAGACGCTGATGCTGGGAGCTGGAGTTGCCAAGGGTACACATCAGGACTGGAGTGGGAATCCCTGACCTCCTCTAGTGCCAGGGATGGAAGAATGGCAGACTGACCCACAGGGAGCAGGGAGGAAAAGGAGAGACAGGAAGGAAAGAAAGGAAAATCTCTGTGCTGCCAAGCAGCCATTCTTCAGTGATGATGCTCATGTTCAGATTTTCCCAGGAATTCCCTAGGAAAGGAAACAACATAGCAGTGACACTCAGCTCTCCTACACTCTGGTGCATGCTGCAGCCTGCAGGTCTTCCCATTCCCCTGGTAAATACTAGGCCTCGAGCACTTGCAGCTACAGAGAACAGCACTGAGCTTTCTCTCACCCATCAGTGGCTCCCACTAGAGGAGGCAAGCAGAAGTAGCTGCTCTGCAAACAACTACTCCAGAGCATCCAGCTCACAGCAGAGATGAGCCAGAGAGAAGTGCTCCCAGCTTTCTGTGGCTCCCCTTCCCAAAACCTGCTTTGCAAGGAGGTCGAGAGCTCTGGCTTTGCAGTAAGCCAGTCCCAGTATTTCACCCACTCCGGAAACCAAAGGGGTTTTTTTGAAGAGCTGTCCAATACAGGCAGCTGTTACACATCTCTCTTGCTCCTGGGCGCATATCACAGTGTGCCCCAAAGCCCCAAGCCCCAGGCCCCCCTCCAAGCCAGAGGAGACCCCAGTCAACGGGGCTGTTACCGCAGTATTCGAGGTAGCTCTGGACTCCTGTAGATGTACTTGTGCCGATAGCCGAGGTCTGTGTGGAATGGAACAAACTGCACCTTGTAGTCTCGGAAACTCCGTGACGTCGCAGCAATGTTGTAAAGCTGAGTCCAAGGGGAGGCAGGTGAGGGACATGGGTCACTCCAAACCAGCTACCCCTGCCAAACCAGCACCCCTCTCAGGGGTGGCTTATGGGACCTGGCTTGACCAGCTTTGCTAGTTCTAGCTCCCTTTCACTATCGATTTGCCACCTTCAACACCACAGAATATGTAGTCCCTTCGGGCTATGCATTTCTACATACACCTTCCTATTGCTGACTTTTTGCCTGGCTGGGATGTCGTTCTATCCACACTAGCTCCTCCCACCAGATCAGTTTGCAGAGCCACATGTGTACCTTCTTTCCCAGATGAAATGGTACCACCGGGTCATCCTCAGCATGAAGGATGAGCAGGGAGCAGGAAATGTATTTCACGCTGCAAAAGAAACAACGTCACAAAGCCTCAGAGCAATCCCATCACTTTCTAACACCAATACACTTGATTTTCAAGGAAACTGCAATGATAAACACATCCTGTGGGTCATTAACTGCAGTTCAGATCTTGAAAACACTATTATCTGGGCACCATTTCTTCGACCTATAGAAAATTTACTAGTGAAAGGCATGCATGTAAAAGCTATTTGGTGCTTAGATCAGAGAAAAGTGGCTCACCCCACTGCAAAGCACCATCCCCCAAGGTCTGGTTTGGTTTCAGTACCGGAAACCAAACTCACAAATGCTCAGGCTCTTGAATGAAAGGCTCAGTGAAGAGACAATGTTATTACATGCAGGGTGGCTTATGCAAATGCTCAGCAGAGAAATCTTCCCAAACCTTCAATATCCCAATGCTACTGTTTAACATGTAACGTACACTTGAAAAGCATAAATCACATGGACCAAATTAACTTATCCCTGAGTAACCTCCATGCTTTCTGTTGCATCTATCCTTATTAAGAACAATTACAAAAGAACGAGCTCCACAGTGCAAAGCTGTGTTGCACTCAGAGCTGCAAGAGTAACTGAAATCCCTTCAGCAAGTATAATGCTTCAATTAAAAAAAAAAAAAAAAAAGCAGAGATTGCAGTCTAATGTCTATCCTCCTTGATGCTTGCCATGGCTCACTGGAGCCACAGCTGAAACCCCAGCAAAGAGGGAACTCACTTCTCATCGTTTGCAAATTTAATTCCACTTGTTGTGATGGGGTCAAGGAAGAACCAGTCAAACCCAGGGAAGTATCTGTATATCTGAAAGGAAAA